CAGAGTGCTAGAATTACAGGTGTGAGCCACCGTGTGCAGCCTTACTTTGATGTGTTTACGATTCACCCCCTTCCTCAAGATTGGATTAGAGGTCACTCTGGTGACCCTCTCATATTCTGTGTCTTTCCTCCTTTTCCTCCTGGGTTTCTCCCTGTTGCCCCACACAGATGCTCTGATCTGGTTCCTGCAATCATTGGCTGGGTTTTCCTATCTCTCTACTCTTGCCCATGCTCTGTCCTTTGCCTTTGGGATGCCATACTTCACCATTTCCACTTTCAAATTCTAGCCTGTAACTCAATATTAATATCACAGAAGCCCGGGCGCCTATGGTCCCAGCTACTAGGGAGGCTAAGGCAGGAGACTTGCTTGAGCCCAGGAGTTGGAGGTTGCTGTGAGCTGTGAAGCCACAGCACTCTACCCAGGGGGATAGCTTGAGGCTCTGTCTCAAAAAAAAAAAATTAAAAAAAAAATCACAGAAGCCTAATTGGTATCAAGGCAGAACTGGGATGAGGAAGAGGGGAGAAGGGGATTGCCTGCTGTTGCACTTTATCTGCATGTTTTTCCTAAGGCTGAAGAAGTAGAATCCCCGTACAGGGCTGTGATTAAGACTAGCTGAGGCCAAGTGTGGTGGCTCCTGCCTATAATTCTAGCACTCTCGGAGGCCAAGGAAAGTGGATCACTTGAGCTCAGGAGTTTATGACCAGACTGAGCAAGAGTGAGACCCTGTCACTACTAAAAATAGAAAAACTAGCTGGGCATGTTGTCAGGCACCTGTAGTTCCTGTTACTCAGGAGGCTGAGGCAGGAGGATCACTTGAGCCTAAGAGTTTGAGGTTGCTATGAGCTATCATGATGCTATGGCACTCTACTCAGGGTGACAAGTGAGACTCTGTCTCAAAAAAGAAAAGAAAAGAAAATCCACATAACTTTGGAATTTTAAAGTACAATGTGAAAGTTAAAATAGCATGGGGAAATCCGGAATAGTTGAAGCTGCTGGCATTCACGGAAGCCAGATTGCAAAGTGTATATTATGGAACGTTGTAACGCAGGAGAGACCTTTAAAAGAGCAACCATCTGAAGCCTCCCCCCCTACCTCTTCTCCAGTACTCAAACCTGCTCCTATGGGTTTTAGGTGGATTGGTGAGGCCACTGGAAAAGACAATGTGGCAATAGGCTGGTGAACACCCACAGAATCTTTGGAAAGACTTGGAGCTGTAAATGACAAATGAAAACCACAGAAACACCAAGGGGAATCATTGATTTCCATTCTAGCTGCAGGCACAGGTAAACTGGCCTCAGGAATTCGGACCCTGGGAGGTTTACCCTGGCATCTCTCGGGGTCATTCTGTTCATAGTTTTCCTTGGCACCTCAGGGACTGAACTTCATCAGCTCTGTTCTTTCAGATGTGCAGCTCTTTTTTGTCGTTGTTGAGACAGTGTCGACTTCAGAAGAGTGCCGAGGCGTCACAGCTCACAGCAACCTCAAACTCTTGGGCTTAAGTGATCTTCTTGCCTCAGCCTCCCAAGAATCTGGAACAACAGGCACTGGCCATGATGCCTGGCTATTTTTAGAGATGGGGTCTTGTTCTAGCTCAGGCTAGTCTCGTACTCCTGAGCTCAAGCAATCCAGCTGCCTCAGCCTCCTAGAGTGCTAGAATGATAGATGTGAGCCACTGTTCTTTTTATTTTTGTTTTTTAAGACACAGTCTCACCCTGTCACCCTGGGTAGAGTACTGTGGCATCATTGTAGCTCACAGCAACTTCAAACTCTTGGGCTTGAGTAATTCTCTTGCTTCAGCCTTTTTAGTAGCTGGGACTATAGGTGCCCACAACCACAACTGGCTAGTTTTTCTGTTTTTAGTAGAGACAAGGATCTCACTCTTGCTCAGGCTGGTCTCAAACTCCTGGGCTCAGGTGATCCACCTACCTTGGCCTCCTAGGGTGCTAGGATTACAGGTGTGAGCCACCTTGCTGAGCCCAGACACGTGGCTTAAAGCCACAAAAAGCAAAGACTTTCTCCTGCCGGCTGCATGGCCTTAGAAAGGACCATGTGGCTGGCTTAGGTCATGTGTGCATCAGCTATGTAATCATGCAAGAAACACCAGGGCAGAAGGTAATGGTTTAGGACAAACACAGTAGTTATCATTGAAAAGAACCTAGTAGAAAAAACAAAAGAGTCAGTGATGATTGTTGGGCTACAGTCAGTGACTACTGAGACTAGCCTTCCTGCTGGGTGAGGTTCTGTTCTGAAACTGGATTTGGGGGTGCTGCTCTGTGCAGATAAGTAAACAGCTCCAATTGGAAACCCTGACTGGAGTGTTTCTGCTCCAGACTGTTGGGGTTGGGCTGAGTGTGGAAGGTTAGTTATGGTTTGTTTGGGTTTTAGAGACAGGATCTTGTCTGTCACCAAGGCTGGAGTGCAGCACAATGATACCACAGCTCATTGAAGCCTCAACTTTGAGCTTAAGTCATCCTTCTGCTTCAGCCTCCGTAGCTGAAACTACCACAACGCCCTTCTGTGGAAGCTCAGTTAAATCTTAGGGTTGACAGTTCTCAGAGAAGGGCCCTATGGACAGGGCCATTCTCTGGACCACTCATTTCTTCAGTTTTCAGCCCGTTCCTAGTTTCCTTTTCTTTTCTTTTCGAGACAGAATCTCACTATGTCACCCTCAGTAGAGTGCTGTGGCATCACAGCTCACAGCAACCTCGGACTCTTGGGCTTAAGTGATTCTCCTGCCTCAACCTCCCAAGTAGCTGGGACAACAGGTGTCCACCACAACACCCGGCTATTTTCTTGTTGCAGTTGTCTTTGTTGTTTAGCTGGCCCAGGCTGGGTTTGAACCTGCCAGCCTAGGTGTATGTGGCTGGCACTGTAACCACTGTGCTATGGGTGCTGAGCCACCTAGTTCCCTTTTACATCTTTAGCACCCCCAAATCATTTGTGGAGGCCAGAGGTGGCAGCAACTTCATGGAGTTAGGAGGTGAGCAAGAAGACCTAGGCCTGGGACTGAGGCTGGACAGGACACACTCTGTGGTTGGCTGACCTGGGGACCCATGTGATGAAGAGTCCCCGGGTCTTGGACCTCTTGTCTCTGACTGTATTTATTTCCTTTTGTCCAGCTTGTGACTTTACATGCTATCTGATCACTGATGACTCCCAAGTTTCTCCTGCAGCTCGGACCTTCTCTCCCCTGTACTCCAGACATGAATACTCAGACTTAGCGTGTCTACAAACCAGATCCTACTCTTCTCCCCAGAGCTTGCATCTTTCCTAGTCTACCTCACTTTAGTTGATGACAATGCTGTTTTTCCCAGGAACTCAGATCAAAAACTAGATATCATCCTGACCTCTCTCTCACCACCAGGGAAGTGTCAACTCACTGGCAATATATCCAGACCACCCAGCCCAGGTCCCACTACCTTAACCAAAGCCATCATCCTCCCTGGCCTGCACTATTGCAGTAGCCTTCTCTCTGATGTCCTTCCATGTCAGATGACCCCCTCTTCTGGTTAGAGCTGTCCAGTGCCTTCTCATCAATCAGAACAAAAACCAAAGTTCTTGCAGTGAATCCCAAGGTCCTATGTCATCTCTTTGCTTTCCTTTCCCTCTCTGCCCTCATCTTCTTTCCCTTTCCCTTCATTCACCCCACTCTCCAGCCACACTTGCCTTCTTCTGTTCCTGGAACATCTTAAGTATGCTCTTGTGTGGGGAATTTGGCAGCTGCTGTGCTCTTTGCCTGCACACTTTCCTTCCAGATACCCAGTTGGCTTTCTCCCTCACCATCAGGCTTTTGCTCAAATGGCCCTTCATCACTGAGTTTTTTCTTTTCTTTTTCTTTCTTTTGAGACAGTCTCACTCTGTCACACTGGTTAGAGTGCTGTGGCATCATCAGAGCTCACAGCAATCTTAAACTTCTGAGCTCAAGTGATCCTCTTGCCTTAGCCTCCCAAGTAGCTGGGACTACAGATGAGTGGCTAATTTTTCCATTTTTAGTGGAGATGGGTCTTTTTTTTTTTTTTTCTGAGACAGTCTTAAACTGTCACCCTTGGTAGAGTGCTGTGGCATCACAGCTCACAGCAAACTCAAGTAGCTGGCACTACAGGCGCCCACCACAAGGCCCCACTATTTTTTTGGTTGCAGTTGTCATTTTTGTTTAGCTGGCCCAGGCTGGGTTCAAACCTGCCAGCCTTGGTGTATGTGGCCAGCGCCCTTCCCACTGAGCTATGGGCACTGCCCATGGAGTTGGTCTTGCTCTTGCTCAGGTTGCTCTCAAACTACTGAACTCAAGCCATCCATCCACCTCGGCCATCCACAGTGCTAGGATTGATTATAGGCATGAGCCACTGAGCTTGGCCATCAGTGAGTTTTTTCTTGACCACTCAATCTAAAACTGCCACCCTTATTCTCAGCACCCTTTTCAGCTTGCTTTTCCTCAGCAGCACTTATCAGCATCTGCCATATTTCATTTATTTGTTTTTTTTGAGACAGAAGCCTCAAGCTGTCCGGCTGGGTAGAGTGCCGTGGCCTCACAGCTCACAGCAACCTCCAACTCCTGGGCTCAAGTGAGTCTCCTGCCTCAGCCTCCCAAGTAGCTGGGAACACAGGCGCCCGCCACAACACCCGGCTATTTTTTGGTTGCAGCCGTCATTGTTGTTTGGCGGCCCTGGCTGGATTCGAACCCGCCACTCTGGGTGTAGGTGGCTGGCGCCTTAGTCACTTGAGCCACAGGCGCCGAGGCCCATATTTCACTTATTACTTGGTATTTATGTACCCATAGCACCCGGAACACTACCTGAAACATGGAAGATGTTGATAGAGCTTTGGTGAATAAATGAATGAATGAATGAATTGTACCAAGGTGGAGAGCTCGGCCTCTGGCTCCCATCCCCCAGTCGCTTCCAGGCAGAGGGGCGGTGTAAGGAGAGCCAAGAGGGGAGCCCCCCTATAAGCAGTGGCGGCGGTGTGGCAAGGTCTCCCAGCGGGCTGCCGGGGATCGGGGCGGGGCCACAAGGGGTAGGGCGTGGCCCGCGCCTGCGCCATAAAGGCCGCCGCGCGCCCCCGGGCCGCCGGCCGCCCGCCTCGTTCCTGCTCCGCGCGTGTCCGGGTCAGTGCAACCTTCTAGTCCCACCATGGCCGCGCTCACCCGGGACCCGCAGTTCCAGAAGCTGCAGCAGTGGTACCGCGAGCACGGCTCCGACCTCAACCTGCGCACCCTTTTCGAAGCCAACAAGAACCGCTTCAGCCACTTCAGGTGCGCGCTCGGGGCCGGACGCGGGGGCTGCGACGTGCGGGGCCCGGATCTGGGCCCGCGGGGCTGGGGCCGGGGAGCCATGATCGGAGGCCCCGGGGCGGCGGTTCCCGGGGATGCTCGGGTCACGGACTGGGGCCCGGGCTGAGGCCGCACTTCGTCCTTGAAGTCTCCTTGGAGCGGGTTCCCCGGGCTAGCAGACTCGCCCGAGGTCTCGGGGGCGGGGCTGCCTGGTCTTGAGGGGCAGCAGCTTTCTCCACGGTGACGTCGCCCTCCCCTGGTCCCCTCTGCAGCCCTGGCCATTTGAGAAAGGGCCCCTCTGGCCATGGTGGGGAGAGGCCTTCGCTGACGCAGCGGGCGTCAAAGGTCTGCCCCTTCCACCTGCTTCTGGCCAAACGGGCTTTGGACCGGCTGCAAGGTGGGCAGGCCCGGGAGGTTTGCCAGGAGCCGCGGTGGAAAGGTGGAGGTGTTGGGGCGTGATTCCTGCTGAGGAGGTGAGGGCCCGAGGCCCCGTATGCTCGGGGAAATGGGAAGCAGTGGCGGAGGAAATCTTGGGCGGGGGGATGCTTCCAACCATTCTCCGGTCTCTGATGTTGGGGGGCCAGGGAGGGGGGAGCGGGAGGAGTGTCTGTGGCGCACAAGTCCTCGTTGGCCAGTCCTGTTATCTGAATGGGCGCCTGAGTACGTCGAGGCAGAGAGTGGAAGCTCTGGGAGAGGGTCATCACCCCCTGGGCTTGTAGGGGCAGCTGCACCCAGCTTAACTGGGATCGGGACATACCCTTTCTGCTGCGTCTAGGTTCTTTGAGAATGTCCTCTTCCGCTGTGCTGGTGGGCAGGCAGGTAACAGACACCACCACCGCACAACCTTTTTGGGGTGTGGCACAGGGAGGACATTTCCTGGGGAAGCAGATTGTGCTGCTGCTGCTCTGGTTAGAGGGGGATGGGCTATGGAGATCTGGGGTGTGGTGAGCAGCTTCTGCATCTTCCTGCAGCTTGACCCTCAACACCAACCATGGGCATATTCTGGTGGATTACTCCAAGAACCTTGTGACGGAGGAGGTGATGAAGATGCTGGTGGACCTGGTAATGTTCTGCTTTGGGAGGCTTTCCCTGTGACCCACAGCGTGGAGGGTGAATACCATCTTAAGTTTCTTCCCTCAGTAGACCCCATAACTGCCTCTGTGCTGAAGGAGGTCTCTGAGCACCTGTCCCTAGCTAGGTTTCTGTGCAGCATCCCAGAGGGCCCCGGTGCCTGATGTCTGGGACAGAGAGCCAGGCTGCAGCCATCCATCAGCAGCCTTCCTCGTGCTTGGGGGCTTGGACTTGTGGTGGCTTACGTGGGTGAGACCAGGCGTCGGTGTCTTCTCTTCCTAGGCCAAGTCCAGGGGTGTGGAGGTTGCCCGGGAGCGCATGTTCAATGGCGAGAAGATCAACTATACTGAGGTGAGCAGGTTTGGTGGACACCAGGTTCCACCTCCCCTCTGGGGCCTCTTCCTTCCCGTTGGGTTCATCGGACTGTTAGTGGCATCACCCCATCTTAACTTCTTCTCTTGAGCAATGCTTTTGCTTAATGAGGGACGTAGAGGCCTTTTGCCCTGGGCTAGTTGCCTGGCTTTGGGGTGTGTCTTCTGCAAGATTGGCAGTCTGGATTTGATGAGTTCCTTGGAATGGCTCCCAGTATTAGGAGCTGACATAGTATTAGGAGCTCTCCAGTGACTAACACATCTCAAACCTCAAAGAAGAGGTTTTTTTTGACACAGGGTCTCACTTTCTTGCCCCTGATAGAGTGCTATGGCGTTGCAGCTCACAGTAACCTCAAACTCTTGGTGTTAAGCAATCCTCTTGCCTCAGCCTCCCAAATATCTGGGACTGTAGGCACCCACTACAACACCCAGCTAGTTTTTAGAGATGGGATCTGTCTTCCTCTTGCTCGGGCTGATCTCCAACTCATGAGGCTCCAGTGATCCATACACCTTGGCCTCCCAGAGGGAGGAAGGTTTCTTTTCTATTCTTTTTTTTTTTTTTTTTTGAGACAGAGCCTCAAGCTGTCACCCTGGGTAGAGTGCCATGGCTTCACTGCTCACAGCAACCTCCAA